GAGGCGAGAGCCCAAGTGACGATGTCACTCTCTCTCTTTATACCTTCTTCCAGCTTGCTAGAAAGATCCTTCTTGTGACCTGTGTTAATCCACCCCCATGGCATACATGCCTTCTCCAAGTGTTCTCTGTGCTAGTGGATGGTGGGTTGATGAGCCATTGGTGCCCTCTGGCTGTAGATGGCGGCTACTTTGTCGTAACTGAAAGGCTTGTTGTGGGTGTTCCCAACAGCGTAACGTTCTCAGTAATGCATGTAGCAATGCTTCAAACAACCCAACAAGACATTAATGTTGAACAGATTAGGGCTTTCAAAATGATACCTCCCAAGGCATACTTTGTACAAAGCATATCGCAATCGTATCACCACGGTAACTATGGGGGTGCCCTTGTGTTGCTTTTGGATCCAGAGTGCCACACCTCCCCCTTAGTTTACTACAGGAGTGTTAGTCACTGTCTGATGCGGAGGCAGTGTGCCCAAGGTCCTTCTTAGGTTTTGACCATAGAACTCCCAAGCGTTGCTAAACCTGGTAGCGTTTCCCACATGTGCTCTTGCAAAGTTCTGTGTATCTTTTAACACTTTCTGGATTAGTCTGATGATCTCAAAATTAGCCAGTATGCCATCTCTGGGTTGCTAGAAAGTCTCTCTTTGTATCTGTGCAGCATTGTTAATCCTTCTGCTTTTTCAACTGGTACTAGCTCAATACAGATATTCAGGTTTTCTAGAGTGTAGGTATCTTGGCATTTAGCCATCAATACGATGAGGCTGTGTGCCTCAGTTTCCCCTTTCTCTCAGCAGACCAAGTTTATTATGGTTTCTGCAGAGGGTAATCTCACAAAACCAAGACGATAAGTGTCCAGTGCCGGTGTTGAGGACAGCAGAATTAACACGGGCTAGTTGTTGTCTGCTTCCTCTCAGAACAGGGCATTTATTCCTCAGGTGCATTACAGTGATAGCACCTTTTTGGCTCTTCTGTTTTCACAGGAGGTTTGGGATGGGGATTAGAGGAATGGTTTGGGGGATGAGTGCCCAGCTTCCCAGCCACCCTCCTTTTCCCCAGGGGTAAAACGGGAACCCTGCTCCCCTCCAGGTTTAAACTTCCCTTTCTGTGGTTTACACTCAATAGATGCCTGGTTCTGCTTGAAGGCATCAGCTAGAGACACCACCTCATCCAGAGTGTTCACGCTTTTGTCCCATAGACACTGCTTCATATTGTGACGGTGCGCCCCCCCAAGGCTTTATGGAAATATGCTTATGAATGTATGTATATGACAGAACTGGAATATGTTTCATGCTACATATGCCATGTAACAAATCTCTGTGAAGGTTATGCTCTGCTGAATCTATTCATCCTATTTGTATGCATGTATCATTTTTGTATTTGAAATTATGAATATTGGCTATGTACTTGCTGGATTTTTAAGTAGCCTTTGTAAAGGCTTCTTGAGAAAGGAGTGTGCAAATTAAGTGCCCAATGAAGAACCACTTAAGCCAACAATGAACTTGAAGACTGTCTGGTTTGGCCAACGTACATAGCAGAGGGGCATTGCTGGCACATGAGGTCATATATCACATTGGTAGATACCAAACCGGACAGTCTCTATGCAAAAGAATAAATGGACACAAATCTGACATCAGGAATCATAACATTCAAAAACCGATAGGAGAACACTTCAACCTCTCTGACCACTCAGTAAAAGTTTTAAGGGTGGCAATTTTGCAACAGAAAAGCTTCAAAAACATACTCCAAAGAGAAACTGCTGAGCTTGAATTAATATGTAAACTAGATACTATTAACTTGGGTTTGAATAGAGACTGGGAGTGGCTGGGTCATTACACATATTGAATCTATTTCCCTATGTTAAGTATCCTCACACCTTCTTGTCAACAGTCTAAATGGGCCATCTTGATTATCACTACAAAAGTTTTTTTTTCTTCTGCTGATAATAGCTCATCTTAATTAGCCTCTTACAGTTTGTATGGCAACTTCCTCATTCTCTGTATGTATATATATATATATATATATATATATATATATATATATATAATCTTCTTACTACATGTTCCATTCTATGCATCCGATGAAGTGGGCTGTAGCCCACGAAAGCTTATGCTCAGATAAATTTGTTAGTCTCGAAGGTGCCACAAGTCCTCCTGTTCTTTTTAAGAGAATGAGAGCTGCCCTGTCATTGGAGAAGCACGTGGCAATTGCACTCTGGAAGCTGGCTACTTCAGACTGCTACCAATTGGTCGCTAGCCAGTTCGGAGTGGCAAAGTCGACCATTGGAGGCATGTTGACAAGTGTGCAGGGCCATTAATTGCATCCTGCTCTGAAAGACTGAGACTCTGGTCAATGTGTGTGACATTGTGGATGGCTTTCCCTAACTGTGGAGGGGGATAGATGGCTCACACATTCCAATTCTGGCACCTGACTACCTAGCCACCAAGTACATTAATCACAAGGGGTATTTTTGTATGGTTCTCCAGGCTTGTGGATGACCGTGGGTGTTTCATGGACATTAACGCAGACTGATCTGGAAAGGGGCAAGACACACGTTATCTTTCAGAACACTGGCCTATTCAGGAAGCTGAAAGCAGGGACTTTCTTCCCGGACCAAAAGTTCACTGTAGGGGAAGTCGAAATACCCATTGTGATCCTGGGAGACCCTGCTTACCCCTGAATGCCGTGGCTTATGAAGCCGTACACGGGGCATCTTGACAGCAGCAAGGAGTGGTTCAACAACAGGCTGAGCAAGTGCAGAATGACTGTTGAGTGTGCTTTTGGCCATTTAAAGGTCCGCTGGCGCTGCCTATATGCTTATAGCTGCGTGCTGTATGCTCCATAATATTTGCGAAGGAAAGGGTGAAAATTTCACTCAGGGCTGGACCACTGAGGCTCAGTGCCTGGAGGCTGAATTTGAACAGCCAGAGACCAGGGCTATTAGAGGGGCACAGCGTGGGGCCATAAGGATGAAGGTGCCTCAAGGCAGCAATTTGAAACTGAAAGCCACTAACATTTGTTGCTATGCATAGGAGTGCAGTGCTTGTCATTCTAAGAGGTGATTATAGTGCATCGTTTGCACCAATCACAAAGATTTAAGAAAATGGCGTGTTTCTTTGCAAGGCTCTATTTGCTTTCTATTAATGGAATAAAGATTGCTTTCAAAGCAACACTATTCTTTTATTAAAAAGCAACCACCGGAGCAGAGAGAAAAAAACACCACATCAGCACTGTGGGGGAAGGGAGGGTCCCATGAGGAGGTGGGGTCCAGGGACGCTTAAAGATTTGTGTATGTCCAGGTATCATATGCAACCTTATCCTTTGGAGTACAGTGCAGCGGGTATGGTACTTCAGCAGGGCAAAACTGCAGAGGGACGGGTGTTGAGTGCACTGGGTACTGGGCGTCCGCAGGGCTGGACTGTGACGGGGCAGGAGTGGAAGGCAGCAGGTATGGACTAGAGCCAGGAGGTTGCTAAGAGTGTGTTGGCGGTGTCTGGGGGGTGCATGGGAAAGAGTTTTCCGACAGAGGCTGCAGGAGTGGGCGGGCGCAGAGCTGCTCGGTTTGCAGTGCTAGTAGCACCAGGAGCATGTCTACTTGGCGCTCCATAATGTTTAAGAGCCGCTCCATGGCTTTGTTCTGGCGCACCCCATTCTCCTTTCAGTCCCTCTTCTCGCTGTCCGGCCACTCCTTTAATTCTTGTTTTTCGGCCACAGAGTGCATCATGACCTCATGCAGAAAGTTCTCTTGAGTTCTTCATGGCCGCTTTCTAATTCTGAGCAGCCATTCAGCCGGCGATAACAAAGAGGGAGGCTGGGCTCCCAAGGGCATATCTGTGAAGCCAAAATGCAACATTTTACAGAAGCGGTATTGTTTGCAACACAGAGATCACTGAGGCAGAGATTTAAAACACAGCCACTATTCACATACCTGTCACTAACTGGCTGACCCCAGGCAAGCACACATGAGCCACAAGACCCCCAAAATGGTAACAGCAGGGACAGAGGAAATCACTGTTCCAGAACTGTACTGACCACTGGGCACGTGGCTCTTGGAGAGAGACAGCAGTGGGGGGGGGGGCCTTATAATCATATCTGTACCCACATTTTCCTCAGACTGTGTTCATTATGGCAGATATCTCGCTGCTGAGGGTGAGCAGGGAATTAAGGGAGGGTCTTCTCAAAGACTGCAGCGTCTGCCCACCTATGTGTGGCTCACCTATGTGGAGCAATGGTTCCCCCCCCACCCCTCCCATGATGGCAGAGTAGTGCAGGAAAGTTACCCTTAATGGGGCAAGAAACAAAGCTGCTCTACCAAAGAACCTGCAGCAGTGGATTGCCCTGTATCTCCTTGAGAGTTTCAAGGAGATCTCTGGGGCAGATTCCTATGAAGCAAGGGAGTCAATCATCACCCTTTTCCACCACTCAGACTGGACATGTGGTGGTACACATATCATGCAGACACAAGCCTGCTTTCTGCAACCCTCCTGCCCTCAAGAACTCACTTCAGTGATTCCCAAAATCAAACCAACTTACCAGGGGCCTCCTCTCCTGTTTGCACTTCGCCAAGCTCCGACAGATGTGACTGGCTAACGTCCTCCAGGGTAGAGAAGAGCTCCTGGCTGCATGCAGCTCTGAGCTCCAACTCATCCTCTGCCTCTGGGTCCCCCTCCGCCTCCACATCC